ATATATTTATTATTGAACCCAAACATTAGGACTAAGCTAGATAGGTTAGCTTAATGTGCGTGAAATTATTATGGAGAGTTGGAGACCTAATATATGAAATGCATTATACAAGTAAAAATTAATTAAGATTTATAGTGATCACTCACTAGTAAGCTCGCCTAGTGTGAGAACTAGTTGATGTGGCTATCATAATAATTTTAGTTGGGTGAATCAGTTGATAACCCAAGCCATCTCAATTACAATATCTTGAGTATGCAACTAGTCCTGCTCCTGTATAAGGGATTCATAATCAGATTCTAACCTAAACTTATCCCAATTACATGCATATCTTGACCATGCAATTTTTTACTTGAGCGTGTATGCAAATTTTTGAGCTATTTTATAGATCGACTTTAGCATCAAAATGTCGAGAGATTCAGTTTATGATTCAAGATATGAGCTATTTTATAGATTGAGATTGAGTTCATGATTCAAGACGAGATAAAGAAAAATTCTGATGATTGTTTTGTTCGAGCATATATATCTTCTATGGTGAAAATCGTGAGATTTAGAGGGGTGTAGGTTCGAGAGAGGAGGCATATTTTGGACTTGCTATAGGACCAGCAAGTATCCCAACTTTAGTATTTATTTATATTCAATGAACTTTATCTTTTCTTACTGGTGGTAGATTTAGTTAAATCATTTTGAGAAAATTGCAATTTTAGTCCATTAACTTAGGCTGTTTCCCGTTTTAATCTACTAACTTAAGCCGATCCAAATTTGGTCCAAAAACTTTTAAAAATTAGTTAAATAAGTACATTTTCGGTCCCCGTCGCCGAAATCCGATCGGAGTGCGCTGAGTTGGCAATTGTTGACGTCGACTGGGCTGATGTGGAGCAATTCCCGGCCGATTCACTGACGTGGACTTCACCACTTATTCCATGTCATTTATAATTTTCAAAAATAATTTTTTCCACATAATTCATTTAATAACCTAAAATCGGGCGCCAAAATTACTTACCATCTAACCCTAATCCCAAAAATTCCGTCTTCGTTCTTGCCATTTGAAACCAAACTCCAGATTTCTTAAGTTCCAAACGTAAGTAGTAACCCTAATCGCAAGCCAAGCCATCTCCGCCTTCACCATTTCCGTCAAAAGAACCCTGGGCCGTCGTCGTTTTGTTGAATTCAAGCCATACACCATCGAAGATGGTGATGTTCAGAAACCCGTTGCACGCTAGCCTACCCCCGCCCATATATCATAAGTCTCACGTGTTACCCTCTATATTTGCTGAGTAATTTCAATATAATATGCGAAAATCCATACAAATACATGTTTCTGTGGTCCCTTATGAAATTTAAAATTTTAATTTACAATGTTTCTTTTTATGTTTGTCGGTTAGGTGTGCATTGTTATTGAACATTTAATCATGTGGGGTAGGGTGGGCAAGTTATGTCGGTCTATGGGTGCTTTTGACTTTATTATTGAATTTTGAAAAAGTTTTTTTTTTTTTGTTTGTATATCTTTGTTGCATAGTTTATTTTGGCATAAAGTATAATGTTTGAATACTTTTTGTCATTGTAGATCCGGATTCTTCTGCTGTAACTCTTGTGATGCATCATGGAGGTCAGTTTGAACATGTCCCTAAGGCAAGATACATAGGTGGTTCTGTGAAAGTTTTTGACTGGGTTGAAAGGGGTCATATGATGATGGTAAATTTTGTTCACTGGGGAAAAGAGAAAATTTGTGATGGTAAGCTACGGTTTTACATTATGCTTTCAAGCTGGTTGTTGATGATTCTGATTTTGCCCTTGGATATTTTGAGGGAAAAAATGAAAGAGAAATGCATGTCTATGTGGAAGTTCTTGAAAAAGATCAGTATGTTTCTAATTGTCATGATAAGGATAAAATGTCAATGGAGGAACATATTAATGATTTTTTAGATTCTGTGGAAGATAGTAGTTATTTTATGGGTAGTGAATCTGAGGATGATGATATGATTTTTAGTGAACATGTTGATGACATTTCTGCAAATGATGTTGATGAGATTCCTGTAAGTGATAATGAACATGTTGCTGAGAACACTAGTGCTGATCCTGTTGTTGATGAGAACCCTGCAAGAAAGAATGAATCTGAAATTATTGGTGATTGAGATAGTGAAAGTTCTGAGGCTGATGTTGTTAATGGTAGTGGAGTTTTGGATGATAACTTGTCTGATGAAGAGTTTCCTTTGTTCAATCCAGATCTTGCATTTAATCCTTCATTTAAAATAGGCATGGTGTTTAGCAGTAGGCCTGTGTTTAAGAAAGCTGTCACCTCTTTTGCAATCAAAACCAAAAGAACAGTGAAATTCAAAAAAAAATGATAAGTACAGAGTTTATGTGGTTTGTGGGGAAGAAAGTTGTCCTTGAAAATTCACCTTGTTCAAGTGAAGGACTCAACTTCTTACAGAATCAAGGAAATGAATGCCAAGCACACATGTGCTCCTAGTTTTTATGTTAAAAATGTTAAATCATCTTGGTTGACTGAGAAGTACATAGATGATTTTAAGACTGATCCTGGTAGAAAAGTTAAACCATGGAGAAAAGGGGTTGTGAAAGACATTGGTGTTAATGTTTCTAAACATCAGACATATAGAACAAAACAAAGGGCTTTACATCTGATTGAGGGTACCTCTAATATGCAGTACAGTAAGTTGTGGGATTATAGGGAAGAGTTGTTGAGGTCTAATCCTGGTTCCACAGTTGTTTTAGGGACAGAGGAAAATGAAAATGGGGAACACAGATTTAGTAAGTTTTATGTTTGTTTCTCAGCAGTAAAACAAGGTTTTAAAGCTGGTTGCAGGAGGTTTGTAGGGGTTGATGGTTGTTTTCTTAAGGGTCCACATAAAGGTCAATTGCTAACAGCTGTTGGTGTGGACCCTAATAACAATCTATACCCTGTTGCATATGGAATTGTGAGCATAGAAAATAGAGAGAACTGGGAGTGGTTTCTGATTTTGTTGAAGAATGATCTTGAAATTAAAGAACAAGAAGATTGGACATTTATATCAGATAAGCAAAAAGGTCTAATTCAGGCATTTAGTGAGGTTTTACCTGGGAGTTTTCACAGATTTTGCGTGAGGCATTTGAACTCCAACTTCCAAACTGCTGGTTTTAGGGGGTTGGATTTCAAAAATGCTTTATGGAGATGTGCTAATGCAACCACTGTTGGAGAGTTCAATCACCAGATGAAAGAAATGGAGTCTCTATCACCAGAGGCAGCTGTTTGGGTAAGTGGTAAGCCACCTGAGCAATGGAGCAAAAGTCACTTTACTTATGGCCCTAAATGTGATTTGGTGTTGAATAATGTGTGTGAAGTATTCAACAACAACATATTAGAGGCTAGGGAAAAACCAATTTTGACTATGCTTGAATGGCTGAGGCAGTATCTCATCACCAAAATGCAACAGAATAGAGATAGAGCAGAAGTAAAATGGACAGAGAAGTGGTGTCCAAAGATTAAGCAGATACTTGTTGAGCATATTGAGCAGGTTGGGAATTGCATGCCTTTGAAATGTGACAATGTCCATTGGGAAGTTTCAACCTTTAATGGAGGGCAGTACAATGTGAACCTGAAAGAGTGGACTTGTACTTGTAGAAAGTGGGGACTCACTGGCATACCCTGTTCTCATGCATGCAGTGCAATGTACTTGGCAAAGTTAGATCCATTTGACTTTTTGGATCCATGTTAGAGTGTTGAGACTTACAAGAAGGTCTATGCCCCAACAATCATGGGCATAAATGGTGAAATGTTGTGGGATAAGAGCTTTTACATACCACCATTACCTCCTAATTTTGGTAGAGGTTCAGGCAGGCCAACAAGGGCAAGAAGAATGGATGCACATGAGGTAGCTGATAAGAAAAAAAAGAAAAAGAAAAGAAAAGTGGTAATGCAGGTGTTCAGAAGGCAAGAAGGCTGCAAAAACACATAAAATGTGGCAAGTGTGC